CTGGGCCTGAATGTCTCTGCCGGCTGCCGCCGGGCCTGAATATCTCTGTCGGCTGCCGCCGCTGGGCCCGTCTACCTCAGCGGGCTGCTGCTGGGCCCGTCTACCTCCGCGGGCCGCCGCCGCAGGCCTACCTGCGTCTGGTCTGCTTGTCTCTGCCGCCGGGCCTGTCTACCTCTGTGGGCCGCCGCTGGGACTCTCATGAAAACATTTTAAAGATTCATCATATTCTTCCTTTTAAAAAAAAGCTAACCTAGCCTGGTGCACACCTTTAATCTCAGCACTCGGGATGCAGAGCCAGGTAGATCTCTGAGTTCAAGGCCAGTCTGGTCTACAGAGTGAGATCTAGGACAAGCACCAAACTACACATAGATACCCTGATCTTTTTTGTGTTTGTTTCTTTGTTTGTTTTTCAAGACAGTTTCTCTGTATAACAGCTCTGGCTGTCCTGGAACTTGCTTTGTAAACTAGGCTGGCCTCGAACTCACAGAGATCGCCTGCCTTCTCCTTTTTTAATAAATGTTGTACATTTTATCCCTCGCATGTTAATTTTTTTTTTCCAAGACAGGGTTTTGCTGTGTAGCTTTGCACCTTTCCTGGAACTCACTCTGTAGCCCAGGCTGGCCTCAAACTCACAGAGATCTACCTGGCTCTGCCTCCCGAGTGCTGGTATTAACGGCGGGCACCACCACTGCCCAGCGCATGTTAATTTTTTTATGTGGCACACAGAGAGAGACAAAGAATAAATGTGCAAGTATGTATGGAGGCCAGAGAAGGCTATTAGATGTTTTTCTTTGTCACTCTTCACTTGATTCTCATGAGTAAGGGTCTCACTGTACCTGGAGCTCATCTGGCAGCCAGCAAATCGTAATGTTCTGCCCTGACACCCCCATAAGTGCCCATCCTTTCAAGTGGGTGTTGGAGACAGGAATCCAAGTGCTCATACTTGTTCATATATTCTTACCTTCTGGGCTATCTCCCCAGTCCCTCCTTGCCTTTTGTTTTGCTTTTTTATTTTGCCTTGTCTTCTTGAAATGGGCTGGTCTGGTATTCATTATGTAGCCCATGCTGGCCTTGAATTTATGGAACTCTTGCTTCAGTCTCCCAGTGTTTAGTGTATGTGTAAGCCACTTTGCCTGAATTACCTTGCTTGTCTTCACTTAATAAAATATCCTGACACATTGCGTGGTGCACATGCCTTTAATCCCAACACTGAGGAACTCAGGGACAGGAGGATCTCTGTGAGTTTAAGGTCAGCCTTTTTTTCAATGTTCAAATACATCCATGTTGCCTACCATATTAATACAAGCTACAAAGAAATCCTACAGGATAATACAATATTAATTGATCATTAAAGTATGTGATATCATCCAGCACCCATTCATGCCAAAACTTCTTGGAAAAACAGGATCAGAAAGGAACTTCCTCAACTTGATAAGAAACATCTGTCTATTTGTCTATCTATTCATCTATCTATAAACCTTTCAACAAATAATACCACCCTTAGAGACCAAGTGTTTCCCCTAAAAGCCTCTGTTACCAATCCCACTCAACAAAGTGTTGGAAAACCAGTGAAACTTGCTGGGATGAATTTCTAGGTTATTCCTTCTGCATAATAGCAGAGACAAAAGCCAGGAGAGAGGAATATAGAATAAAGGAATGGAAATAGTTCTTTCACAGGTCACAAGGACTGGTTAAATGGGATTATAGATTCAGATACACCTTTCTTCTTGTCATTTATACCTCTGCGAGAGGGAAAATCAATCTTCTCCAATAGAGTAACATTGGATATATCAACCACTTGAGGGCAGGCCTCATGTTCAGGAGTAGTTGACCAATAATATATAATAGACTCACAGTTTGTGTGTATGTATGTGTGTGCTTTTATTACAGTTTGGTGTTTTGTTTTGTTTTAAAAAAAAAATCATTTTGCAACCCTACCTTAGTTTCAAAAGGTTATTTTGACCACCCATGACTACCTTGTTGTGACTACCTGCTGCTGTGACTCCCTTGTCATGCCCACCTTGCACCATGTCTTTGTTTCAGGAAGTTGTTAGGAGTCACTTGTTATGCTTATGCTCTGCTCCTGCAACCCTGACCATGTGGTAGAATATTATTTTAAGGTGTGTTCCCTTTGTTTATGCTCTGGAACATTTGTTTAATGATGCAAAGACCTATTACATTTGTTTGATTGACTAAAACTAGCTGACAGGAAGTACAGGTGGAGAAGGGCTTTTAAGTGAGGGCTGGGAGAAGGATGCCTGGCTTTTTAGGAGATGTCTGAAAGGAGAAATTAGCTACTTGCTATTCAGCTTCTCTGAGCGAGCAGAATTCCACCTCATCCTCTGAATCTTGAGTTTTTTAGATGGACAGAAATTTAGATAAATTCGTTTGTAGCTTTGAAAGAACCAGTGCCTAGGGGACTAGAATCCCTTCAGGCTGTGGCCCTTGCTGCCGATCACTGCGGGTAGAGGCCGAGCTGCAGTTGCTGATTAGGACAGCCATTGTTTTATGTATGTATGTGTTTGTTTGTTTGTTTGTTTGTTTGTTTGTTTGTTTGTTTACTATCAGCTTGATACAGTATAAATTCTTATCTTAATAGTGAAATGTTTCACTGAGGCTTGCCCAGTAATTGAGTAAAACCAAACTTATTCTAAGCCACAGTCATCCTAGGGTCCCCCCTGCTATATAGCCTCTCTGGTTCTGTGAGTTGCAGGCTGATTGTTCTTTGCTTTATATCTAGAATCCACTTATGAGTGAGTACATGCCATGTGTTGTCCTCCTGGATTTGGGTTACCTCACTCAGGATGATATTTTCTATTTCCATCCATTTGCCTGCAAATTTCATGCTGTCATTGTTTTTTACTGCTGAGTAGTACTCCATTGTGTATATGTACCACATTTTCTTAATCCATTCTTCAGTTGAAGGGCATCTAGGTTGTTTCTAGGTTCTGACTATTACAAGTAGTGCTTCTATGAAGAGTTGAGCATGTATCTTTGTGGTATGACTGAGCATTCCTTGAGTATATGTCCAAGAGTGGGATGGCTGGGTCTTGAGGTAGATTGATTCCCAATTTTCTGAGAAACCGCCATACTGATTTCCACAGTGGTTGTACAAGTTGCATTCCCACCAACAGTGGAGGAGTGTTCCCTTTGCTCCACATCCTCTCCAACATTGACTGTCATTGGTGTTTTTGATCGTAGCCATTCTGACAGGTGTAAGGTGGTATCTTAGAGTCATTTTGATTTGCATTTCTCTGATGGCCAAGGATGTTGAGCATTTCGTTAAATGTCTTTCAGCCATTTGTGATTCTTCTTTTGTGAATTCTGTTTAGCTTTTTAGCCCATTTTTCAATTGGATTGTTCAGTATTTTGATGTCTAATTTCTTGAGTTCTTTATATACATTGGAGATCAGTCCTCTATTAGATGTGGGGTTGGTGAAGATCTTTTCCCATTCTGTTGGCTGTCTTTTTGTCTTATTGACTGTGTCTTTTGCCCTACAACAGCTTCTCAGTTTCAAGAGGTCCCATTTATTAATTGTTGTGCTCAGTGTCTGTGCTGTTGGTGTTATATTTAGGAAGTGATCTCCTGTGCCAATGCATTCAAGAATACTTCCTACTTTCTCTTCTATTAAGTTTAGTGTAACTGGATTTATGTTGAGGTCTTTGATCTATTTGGACTTGAGTTTTGTGCATGGTGACAGATATGGATTTATTTGTAATCTTTTACATATTGACATCCAGTTATGTCAGCACCATTTGTTGAAGAGACTTTCTTTTTTCCATTGTATAGTTTTGGCTTCTTTGTCAACAATCAAGTGTTCATATGTGCGTGGATTAATGTCAGGGTCTTCAATTCGATTCCATTGATCCGTATGTCGGTTTTTATGCCAGTACCAAGCTGTTTTTATTACTATAGCTCTATAGTACGGCTTGAGGTCAGGGATGGTGATGCCTCCAGAGGTTGCTTTATTATATGGGATTCTTTTAGCTATCCTGGATCTTTTGTTTTTCCATGTGAAGTTGAGTATTTTTCTTTCCAAGTCTGTGAAGAATTGTGTTGGGATTTTAATGGGGATTTGCATTGAATCTGTAGATTATCAGCCTTTTTTATACAGCAAGTTGATGGCAACTTAAATGTCCTAGATTTTTTTATTTTAAAAGAGTGAGTATTTTAAGTTACTTTTCAAGTTTATTTTTTGAATTAGATTTTCTAGAAGTGAGATTGCTTGATCCAAAGGTAAAATAATACCATTTGATTAGATGCTTTCAAATTTCTGTTTACAGTTTCAGTGTTTTCACATTCCTACCAGCAGTGTCTTGAGGTTTCCCAACAGAGTATATTATCACTTTTTGCCCATCTGTTGGTAAAAATTGTATCTCTGTGCTTTTTTACTTTTCCTTCTTTTTCTTTCTTTCTTTCTCTCGCTTTCTTTCTTTCTTTCTTTCTTTCTTTCTTTCTTTCTTTCTTTCTTTCTTTCTTCTCTCTCTCTCTCTCTCTTTCTTTCTTTCTAATAAACAAGTGAGATACTAGTTTTTGGTTTTCTGAATTTCATAATGATTCTGCTTTTCTATTTATGTTTTTCAGAGTCAGTACAGATTTGTCTGTGAAGCTATTTTGAAAGTCTATGAAGAAGGCTTTGTTAAACCCTTAACAACATCAAATAAATAAGAAAACAAAACGGTTGGGATAAGTATTGGGAAACTGATTTTTGTTACATTCATTTTGCCATTATACTGCTTGCAGGAAATGGCATCTCACACAAAAAAGTGAAGAACTCAAACAAACTTTGAAAACTTCAGCACTATTGCACTTTATGTTTAAAAAAGTCACTCAAAACCTATAACTCACTATTTTGACTGTTTTGTGCTTTGCTCTGAACACATAGTGGAGACTGACTATGTTCAGGGTAACTTATGGAATTCGAGGCGGTGCCATGCGTCCCCTCTGTAGAATTGCCCCAGACAAGGCTCAGAATTCTCATCTCTGTTACACACCTGTACCTTGAAAGCAAAAAGGAGTAAACATCAGGAATCTGCTCTGGTCTTTCCAGTGGTTCATGTACTTACTCTCCTGATTACCGGATTTTAGTTTCAACCGTTAGCAATACCATTCTCAACATAGCCAGTACACTGCCTGTGGATGCAGCACAGCTTCCTGACATCCCAGTAGGGACCTGCTGTTGAGAAGAAAAGGGGAACGGGCTGTTCCCAGGAAATGCTGCACATGCCCATTACCAGCATCTTAGAGAACTATAACTATGAATCTATGGATTTTCTTGGATTTAATAATGTAACTTATATTTATCATAAGGTTGGCTTATTCCAAATCATGTGATTTCACATTCTTGATGTAAAGGAATGCATGTATCGTGTCTTAACCCCTTAAGTGCCTTGAGATTTTATTGTCTAATGAAAAGGCACTCATTTGACCCCATAGGAGGTATGTATACTGTACATTCTCATAGTTTTATGAATTTTTAATAAGTTCACAGTGTAAAAAAACAGCTTCTTATGTTGAGAGTTATACAAAGAAGGGTAAGGAAATTCTGTTCTTACTCAGTGCTTGCTTGTACTTTGCCATAAAAGCCAGGATATCTGTGTTCTGCTGAGAGTGCATTCTGCTGCTATGGAATTGTTCACAATCTGTACATTCCTTTACTGAGGAACAGGGGTTAAAGTTCTGCAGCCTACTGAAAAAGAGGGGTTATTCTTCAAATTGCACATTTACTTTATTCCCTAACTTAAAAAGTGATGTAACATGTACATTAGAGATCAACATATTAACACTCTGAGCTCCAGTTACCAAGTTCAGTGGTTGGGTTTCCTCCTGTCGGAAGCTGAAGTGCTGCCCTCCAGCACTCGTTCCCTTCATGTCAGGCTGCTGTTCACACTGCTCTTTCTTTTCAGTTTTGTTTTTTGTTGGTTTTCTGTTTTGGTTTAGTTTTTGTTTTTTGGGTTTTTTTTTTTTTTTTTTTCAAGACGAGGTTTCTCTGTGTCACAGCCCTGGCTGTCCTAGAACTCACTCTGTAGCCCAGGCTGGCCTTGAACTTACAGAGATCTGCCTGCCTCTGCCTCTTGAGTGCTGGGATTATGTGCTGCCACCGCCTAGCCACAATGGTCTTTTGATTGGAATTCTTCAGACAAGGAATTAAATACTATTGACTTCTTCTAAATGTGACCCCAAAAATAGTAAAATGCAGGTTTTCTTGTCATTTTTTGTATACAGTAATATTAGCTAGTTCATATATGAAAATTATAAGCCTGTTTAGTGAGGCTTTTGATTGTCCATTTTGACTAAAGATTCAATTCCCATTACAGATGTGTGTATTTTCCTTGTTGGCTTCATTTGTTTTTAAATCTATGGAGATAGAGCTTCAAAATTGCTCAATTTAATGTGAGAATTTGCTCACCTACTCAAATGTTGTTTTATATGGATATAGTTAAAATAGGCACATTTGCTAGTGGTTTCAGAATATTTCTGTAGTCTTAATAAAACATAGGTCCCAATGGTAAATAGTTTGGACTGCTATTTAGTTGGGGGAGGAGTGCCATACATTTGAAAATCTTTAGTAAAATCTAAATTATCCATTCACATATTCAGAATAGGTGTGAACAAAGCGGCATATTCAGAATCCATAATAGTAAAATTCAGAAGTTAAGCTCCTAAACATTAATAGCCAGGGTACCAAATAAATTGTCTTTCACAAATATTTTTTGTCTTATTTTTTAAAGAAAGACATAAACATAATCTTTATGTCAAATGGAAGTTCTCCTATTCTGATTTCACATGCAAGACAATCTGAGCTAGTCAGTGAAAGGTAGCTTCACTCAAACATTCCATTGTCTGCCAGAGGCAAATGTAATGGAGGCTATCATTTCAAGTTTAAAGGGGAAATGAAGTTGGAGATCTGTACATTGTAGAGCTACTTTATTTCCTGTACAAATTGTAGTCTAAATTTGAAGTGTCTGTCCTTGCCGTATGGATAGAATATGACAACCAGAGACAGGCAGAGAAAAACTGTGTGGAGGCGAAAGGCAGAGTCATGTTCACTGGCTCTTTCATCTGCCGCTTTGTTCACACCTATGTCGTTAACACTGGTGTTGGCAGTGAGCATTGCTGGCTTTAAATTATTGACAAGTGGAGAATTCCACTTCAACTTCTGAGAACCGCCCTCTGTCAGCATTTTAGTGTAAAAACAGCCCTTAGACCATTTGTTAGGACCTTAAGCTACTATTACCTTTACAAACTGTTAATGTGGATATGCTAACTAAACTTTCCTAGTTCTCTAACATATAACACTGTCCTTTACACCTAAGCATTTAATCAGTTTATTAATCTTAATAGATTTCTAGAAATAATGGTAGTTTTCATACAAGTACTGCTAGACTTCATACATACTGATTTAATATTGTGTTAACAAAAAACAAATTTCTTGAATCAAACTACTTTTCCATTTCAGTAGCCACCCTTAGACCCACACCCTGACAAACTCAAGAAAGAATGCATTTATTCTGACAAGTGAAAAATCAATATTGGTGAATCAGGGGCTTTTGTACATGCTAAAGAGTAAATGTGAATATTTTCACTCTCCGAGTTCAGACAATTTTTCTGTGTTTCTTTCCAGTGTTTTATTGAGCATCTGGTTTTCATTAGCATCGACTAGATACTCTATAGTATCTAGGAGTATTTGGAGTAGACTTTCGTTCACAAAAGGAATAGATTGTGCTTATAATCCATCCATTCAAAAGTGAGCCCAAGAAAAACTTTTGTGTTACCTACTGAGGTAAATAACTGGGAAAGGACAATGATTGATCATTTTGACCTAAGAATAAAAGTAACGTATATGAAAATTGCACTCAGAGGCAGAGACAGGTGGATCTCTGTGAGTTTAAGGCCAGCCTGGTCTACAGCCAAGGCTACACTGAAAAACCCTCTCTCGAAAAATCAACATCAAAAAAAGACCGTTATTTGAAGGTTTTGGGTACTACTGTGCATGCCTTCACAGAAAAACGTCAGTACATTGGTTTGCATGTGTGCTTCATAAAGACGTGTGCACAGACGGAATGAACTTTTGACCATGGGGTTGTTTATATCTCTTGGCAGGTCTGACCAAGTCTAAGTTGTTATCTGAGCAAAAAAATCTCTTGTCTCACTAGAAGTGATACTACAACTTGATATCTATAAGAAGGTGAAAGATGTGTGTCCAGTCTCTATTTCTTTACGATAGGAAGGACCAGAGGCCCAGCAATTAATTTAACAGTATCTGGTCATCTTCCAGTTTTCCAATTCTCAATCTAGTGTCGCTGTATTAGACTAGAACTTCAGTAAATTGTGAATGTGATAAATGCTTATAAATTTTATCTCTTTGTACCTGGGAAGCACGCGCAGTGTCGTCACTTTGAAACTTTGACCCCTTAGAGGTTGAAAGTAGGCTTCAAAAGTGATGCTCATTAGGATGTGGGCCAAGTTTGCTCGTGGTGCCTCCCTACCGGACGGACACGAGCTCTTGTGAAGTAGTTAGCCTGATACACATACAGTAAGCCAACTGAACTGCAAGGAGGAAGGCAGCGTTAAAGCACTTCAAACCTAGAACTGAGATTTAGAACTTAGGTCTACTTACAAAATAATTTATATTCATAATGTGAACATGTGATAAAATTGAAGTGTGGCCTGTTTATCAGGAAAAGAGAAGGAAACACTAATTTATAGCAATATGCTATCTAATGTCTGTTTTGAATAGTCTGATGGTAAAGTTGCCAAAGTAGTTTTGAATTCATGTAAGTTGTTTATACCACAAATGTGGGATATGTTTACAGGCTCTTTGTAGTACTTATTTTGTAGTTCTGATGAATTTGTATTTAAGTCATTTATAATAAATATATGATGATAAATATTTGCTGGAATAAACATCTCAGTAATACTGCAAATCATACCTAAATGATCCCCCAGTCTGCTTTCATGCAAGGTGCTGCATCCACAAAGCAAGTACTCTGTGTCGACATTGCTCACGTCCCACATGTGCACCAGCCATCCACCTGCCATTCCTGGAACAGTCATTGTGGTGCTTCCTCCAAGTCAAACAGCTGCGTTAGTACACTTCAGTGATTGAGTTTACCAGACGTGAAATGACCGCTATGGTGACAGACACTCACTTGTGTCTCAGTGTGATCACAAATTGTAGCAACTTTGTGAAATTCTTAGAGAATTATTATAGACATAAAAAGAAATTTACAGAATCTTAAAACTTTTTTGAGGGCTAATTGCTAAGAGATAATTTCATCAATTTTAAGAATATAGGAAATCAATCCCAAAATTCTATGTTTCAGGTTCTGCTTTTTACCACAATTCTTATTTTTCATGGATTTTGCTTACTCTTAGTAGCAGTTATTATAATAAACTTCTCTATGTTGATATAAACAACAACCCATGTATTCCAGCCCATAATTTCATGCCCTAGGTGAATTTGTTTGGAGTAGATACCATAAGGTTACTTTCTGTTTCCATATATAAATGTGTTGCTGCTTATTTTACATTTTTTCTGCTACGGTATACTGTTGGTTTCTAAAGCCATTGTTTATTTTTTTAGTCCTCCAAAGCTAAATGGGCAGCCATTAGTCATAGCTGTTTGACAGCAATCCATCTGTATTAGCTAGGTATGGTTCAGTACATAAACAAGTAAGCCAGTAGTACTTTTAATTTGCAGAAGGTTGTTAGCAATATTGCAAGTTAAAAACTACACTGTTAAGGAAAAGTTCAAACGTTTAGCTTTCTGGAGCCTTGTAAAATTTCCAGTATAAGAATGAAAAAGAAAGCCTTGTTAAGGTCATAAAAGTTTCAATTAAACATTGTAGAGTTTTCCTATTATTATGTAAATGATATACAGAAAATATTTTTCTATGAACAGAAGGTTAAAACTGTTAACTTTAATTTCATTGTTTAAAAGGGATAAAACGATATTTGTATGTCTTTCATGCTGTAAAGAAAATGAATGTATCTTTCAAATGTTAGAGTTATTACTTGATTCTAAGTATATGTGTTTAAAAAGAGAGAGAAATCTGCAAAAGAGTGAAAAGAGTGTTACAAGTCATTGTGTAAAATGCAATGGTGGAAGAAATGGAGTTTCGTTATAAATGATCACTGTCAAAGCATATATAGTGTATAGTGTACATTCATTTCACATTGCTTTGTTTTGACTTCTGAAATTTTCCTTAAAAATTGTATGTACTATTTTGAGTGTAAAATATTTTAATTCTATACTTGGGTGTGGAAGAATGTCTGTGTGTTAGGCTAAGTGTGCTGTTGCATGTGTCTACCATGGAGGAAAGTTCCCAAGCTTTGTCATTGTCGCAGCCACCAATGGGGGCATCATTGTAAGAATGTGAAGCCAGAATCCCATGCCTAAGAGCCACTGCAGTAATTATGTGCAGAGGCCTCTGACCCTGCTAGTGAGTTTCCCTTTCTATCTTCAGTGATGTGGATAGTAAGACCACTGGGTCCAACGCTCGTGACTTATAACAGTAGTAGCTTGTGTGCTTACAAGTTTATTCAGCTAAGTGAAAACTCTTCACTTTAAACCAGTACTTGTAGGCATGATTAATTAATTTAGTGATTGCCAATCATTAAACTTTATGAAATTGGGAAGTCATTGTTTTAATGCTTTCTAAACCTACATACTAATTTTAACTCATCGTGATGTACCCTGAACAACCAAAAGGTAATCCAAGGTTAGTGTCAGATTTCCTCAACCCCAGTGGTTACAAAGTTTGGCACTCTTAACTCTGGTAACTTAGAAGTCACACTGTTAGTAAAGTCGCTGCCAGCGATCATCAAGGAAGTAGCTTTCTTCAACCTTCGGCCCAAATAGTTGCTGCTTTGTGGTTTCCCTAGATCTACTATATGTCATTACATCCACTATTGTCATAATTGGGCCTATTTCACCTTTGTTTTAATATTTGTTTTCTGCTTATAAGTTGCCATCCTGGGCAAGGATGTTTCAACCTAATTCTGTGATCTCTGGATTCATCTTTCCCACTCTTTCAGTGAATTCGCAAGACACCTCATTCCTGAATCCTGTAGAGTAGGTCAAACTTCAGTGCTAAAATTGATTTCAAATAGCACTTTATTTCATGCTTACTACTGACTTAATTTATACATTAAAATATCTATCCTAGGCGTTTTGTAAATACAGATAAAAATTGATTAGTATTAGAGTTTATTAGATTGGCCCCAAGTTTAAATGCTTTATAATGATCTCTTGATCTTTGATATTTAAGAGGTAACGTATGTGATTTTAGCTCTGCGATTTTTCTGTAATTTGTGTAATACAATAGAGGCTGCCCAGCTGACTGTGTTGCTGGACTCAGTTCTCTCAGCCGAGCTTGGTTTAATAAAATTGTTTCTGCTCTGCATTTTGTGGACATCACATGAATTCTTGGAAATCCGTTTGTTTTCAGTGTAGTACCTAGATATTAAGTGGATCCTGTACCACAAGTACATAGTTGATGTAGAAGACAAAGGGCAGAATTTATGACGCTGTAACAGTTTATATTAAGCTGTTTTTATATTCTGCCAGTACAATATATCTGCTGTAAAAAATAAAAGTTGCCTACCCCAGTGTTCTCCAGCATCAGAACATACCCCTTATGAACTATGTTGTAGTCTTTTCAAATAAGGAAAGCTAGTCCTTGTTTTCTACAGTGTAGGTTTAACTTTAGGACTGATAGTTTATACTTATCAGTACTATTTTCAAACAGTAGTTTTAAAATTATTTCTGTGTAGAGGATATTTTAATTTGGGAACTTTCTTTTCTTGTAATAGGTGCTATATGTAAATATGGAGTGAGAAGTTTGCTTGGTTCAAGGTCTACTTTATTTCCTTACTAAAATGTTTTTCATTTCTGTTTCCATTTCATGTTTTGTACTGAACTAATAGCAGAATGGAATTAGTCCCTTAATGTTGTCGACTACCTTTTCTCCCAGTTGTACAAAACTGTCTCCGTATGCTTGGTCTCGTGATGAAGGGCAGAGAAGCTAAGAATGGGAACCGCAAGTGCACAAGCTGGAGTTTGGCCAGCACTGGGTTATCTGAGATGCTCACTGTATACTTGTCACCGCAGCTCACCGTGTGCTTGTCCTCATTCAAGGAAAGTCAGAATTCCTGACGTCCGTGGTTTTCAGCAGTCTACACATGCCAACAGTGAGCAGGATAAAATGCTGGTTTGCATCGAAACTGTTTTAGTCCTAACATCAGTTTATGTTATGTGAAATATTTTGTTGGGCATATTTCATTTTGATTAAGTAGTTGTTCAGATACAAATGTGAAAAGGAAAAGAAAAACCTCTAGTTGTTAATGTTCAATTGAAAAATAAAGATGTGCTTTAGTAATCTAATGACTTCATTTCAAGATTATTTTATGGGGATTTATTTTTGGACTCTGCTAGCAATGATTTTAGTCATTAATGAGTGATCAGTTAGAAGGGATGGTTGAATGTTCAACATGATGTGTATTTCTAGAATTAGTAGCACACATAGTGGCTCTTGAGGGAGTGGGGAGAATAGAGGTTTAAAGAGAATTAGAAAATTAGAGAGAGAGAGAGAGAGAGAGAGAGAGAGAGAGAGAGAGAGTATTTGGTATATATATGGTGTATGGACATGTACATATGCTGAAACAGCCACATGTGCTCATACTTGTGGAAGCTAGGGGAGGGCATCTGATGTTGTCCTCTGCCAATCTCCACCCTATTCTTTTGAGGCAAGATCTCTCACTAAACCTAGAACTTAATGTTTTTCAGCGAAACTGGCTGGCCAGCAAGCCTGTGATCCCTGTCTCTAGCAACCCCAGCATGAGGTTGCAGGCACACACACCTGTGCTCAGTTTTTACATGGGTTCTGGGAATCCTAACTCAGGTCCTCGTGCTTGAGCAGTAAGCATTCTTTTTTGTTTTTCGAGACAAGGTTTCTCATGTAACTGTCATGGCTGTCCTGTAACTCACTTTTGTAGACCAGTCTGGCCTGGAACTCACAGAGATTTGCCTCCTGAGTACTGGGATTGAAGGCATGAGCCACCACTGCCCAGCTGATCAGTAAGCATTCTTACCCATCAAACAAACCATCTCCCCACCTAGAGAATGAAAGTGTCCCCAGTCTCCTTCATTGTGGCCATGCCTCCTCCAGTAACCCCAGAGCAAGACCTGGTCACTCAAAAGATTTCTCTTGAAGTCAGCCTGGATCACATCTTCCCAGGTATGCCATCTTGCATCTAAAAGAGAAAGGGAAGTCAGGCATGCTGTCTTGCCTGTTAGAGGAAAGGAAGAAGTAAAGACTACTAGCTCCACTCTGGGTTTGGTTTGGCTTGGTTTGAGGGGGGTGCATGTTTTATGTAGCCTTGGCTTGCCTCGAACTCAATAAAGCGCCTACTTCTGCCTTTCAAGTGCTGGTATCAAGGGCTGCACCACCACATCCCTGCAACCGCTAACTCTGTTTTAGGTGCGTACATGACAAAGGACTCATTACGACAAGGCCTGTGCAGTGACACAGTGCTGGAGTCCCAGGTGCTTCCAAGGCTGAGGTAGGAGGGTCACTTTAGGACAGGAGTTCAGGGTCAGCCTGTGCAACACAAGGAGACCCTACGTCAAAAACAAGAGAAAGAAGAAACTATGAGAAACATTTTGAGGAAGATCCAAGATGATTTATGGCAGTCTCGTGCCAACTCACCATCTCTGAGAAAAGCCCCTCAAACCTGGTGAAAAGCACAGATTTGTAGAATCCTAGTACTCCAGAGACTGAGGCAGGTGGATTCAAACTGTGGGCTCTGTAAGCCCTACCTGCCCAAGGTTCGGGTAATTTCCTGGAATACTGGGAGTTGTAGTTCTTAGAAAAACAACAAAACTACATGGGAGATAAATGGCCTTGTGGTTTTGTCCTTAAAAAAACAACAGTTGTGTTGTGCCACTTGCTGGGAACCCGCGGTGGAACTGACCAGAGTCCATTTTTCTGGCCAGCACTTAATTAAAACTTGCTTCAATTTTGGTTCCAAATTGTGGAACTGGTTTTTCTTGTGCAAATTTCAGATTAGCAGCAACTCTGAGCTATATGAAGCCTTGGGGCAGTGGAAGCCCTATCACACCAATGATGACCTCTTCATTATATTTTCTTCTAGGGAAAATTGTATATTTGTATATGCATATATATTTATGCTTGCAGGATTGTATGATACAGCCTGCAACTTTCCATTTTTCATTGTGGGATATTTGCATGTTAGCATATTCACATCTGTCTCATTCTTTAAAACATTATTTGCAGGGTGAGGGTCATGAATGTACTTGCATAGATGTACTTGCACAGCACTCATGTAGTGGTCAGAAGCAAACTTGCAGGTGTCGGTTCTCTCCACCATGTGAGACCTGAGATCAAGCTCAGGGCATCATGGTGGTGTCTTTTCTTACAGAGCCATCTCACCAGCCCTATTTCATTCTTTTTACATTTTATAATTACTAATTTGTATGTGTGTGCATCTACCAGGTGAGCTAGATCCCTACCCTACTCCCCCTTTTGGATACTAGTTTTGCTTTAAAAACCTGTACCAGGCATCAGAAATGATACTGGTTTCCTGGTATTGTCCCTAGTCAGCCAGAAAACTTCAGTTTGTACTCTCTCCACCCCAAAACCCTGCTATGCATAGAGCTATGTGTAGTACTCAGCTGTTGCTCCATTGGCCCCAACTGAGGTGCCACACAAGTGACTAGCAGTATTCTGGCAACACCAGGCAAGATCCCCCAGACCCTCTGTCCACACCCTTTCCCTCCTCCGTGTCCCTCCTCCTGCTCTTGCTCCTTTGGTTTTAGTACCGCCCTTGAGCAGGTCCACACAGGCCTTTGTCCTTGCTGTTTCTGCTGCTCTTCCAGGATGTCTACTGGGCTCTCTCCTCACCTGCTTCAGTCTGAACTCAATGTCGCTGTCTTAAGAGGCCTTCCGCCTTGCTGAATTGGTAGCCCTCATCCCCTGTCCCTGCTCCCTGCTATTACTTTACTAGCAACTGACCAACCATGTGTATTAAACCCAGGACTTCATGTACTCTAATGGAGGTATATACAGCCTTCCTCCTCCTCCTCCTCCTCCTCCTCCTCCTCCTCCTCCCTACTCCCCTCCTCTTTCAGAAAGTGTTAGGTAGGTTGGCCTCAAGTTTCTGGGTTCAAGTGATCCTCCTGCCTCAGCCTTGAGAGTAGCAAGGACTACAGGTACACTCTACCACACAGGCTTGATCATGAAATAAACTTGTTTAATTATAATAGAACCCCCAAATGTAACCTAAGCTGGCCTTGATCTCACTACTGAGCCTCCCAAGGGACTGTAGATGTTTGTCACCATGGTTGCTTTGAGGGACTTTAGTCTCCTTATCTGTCTTATCTCCAGAGCCTACAGCACAGTAGGCATTTTGATAAATTATCTGAAGAATGAATGAATGGAATGTTGCCTTGCCACTCAGGCCCTCCCTGACCACAGTGCCTTAAGCATCAGTCTGTTATTTCCCTTTCCTAGCTCTGTTTTTCTCCAGGACACTTATCACCACTTGACACATATTTGTTCTCTCTCTCTCTCTCTCTCTCTCTCTCTCTCTCTCTCTCTCTCTCTCTCTCTCTCAGAGAGAAAAATAGATATACCAGACTACATTAAAAATAGAAACATCTGGGTTATTTTTGCTGTGCTAAGGATTGGATCCAGGGTCTTGTACTAGTCTTAACACCCTACCACTGAACTGTATCCCAAACTCAACGTTTGTTTGATTTTAAATTATATAATCAAGAAAGTGAAAATTCGCTGGACAGTGGTGGCACTTGCCTTTAATCCCAGCACTCCGGAGGCGGATCTCTGAGTTCAAGGTCAGCCTGGTCTACAGAGAGAGATCCTCAGAACCACCCCCCTCTACCCTTGAACTGTGGCAAACATGAAACCCTTCCTTACTCGCCCCACACAAATACACACATAGACAAATAAATGTAACCTTTTCTTTTAAAACAGGGTTTCACTGTGTAGTCCTAGCCATCTTGGAACTCACTAAGTAGACCAGGCTGCCCTGGACCCCACCAGAGATCCTCCTGCCTCTTGTCTCCCAAATTCTGGGATTAAAGATGTTTCTATTTTTAATGTAGTCTGGTATATCTATTTTTCTCTCTGAGAGAGAGAGAGAGAGAGAGAGAGAGAGAGAGAGAGAGAGAGCAAGCCAGGTTTACTCCCCCCCCCCCACCCCGCGCGCGCCTTTTTTGTTTTATTTTTTTTTTTAATTAATGAACAAATGAATCCGTGTAGCGGCCAGGTTTCCACACACCTAATAGCGCCCTCAGGATAAGACTTAAATTTTGGACAAGCGCAACAGGTGCCTCTTAAACCGTAGCTTCTTGTTCCTGTCGGCCCCACCGACAGGCGTTGCCGGCTTAAATTCGGTCTCGGGAGGCTGATTTCCGGGGCGGCGCCATCGCCCCTTTAAGAGCCGAGCACCCCGTCCTTGGGGCGGGGCTTGAGGCGGGCTTGAAGGGGCGTGCCCGCGGGCGGCGAGCGGGCGAGCGGGCGGGCGGCCGGGGTCCTCCGGGGATTAGCGCAGGGTGGGCTCGCCCCGTGCGCCGCCATTTCCCTGCGTCTTCGGAGACCCGTCCTCCTCTCGGGCCGGCTGGGCGTCTCTCCCCGAGGGTCGTGCGCGCCTGTCGTCGTGGTCTCGGTGGCTGCACGGTCTTTACCCCCCCCCAGTCAAGGTAAGAGTGTGGCCCCCGTGTCCAGTTCGCGCCGCTCACCGAGCCGAGCCTCTCGGCCGCGCCGGGTGGGCGGCCCGGCTCCCGGGGCGACGCCGCGGGCTGGGAGGGGAGTGGCGGCCGCGGCCAATGGGGCCGAGCGCTGAGTTTCGGGCGATACCGAGCGGTGGCCGCCGAGGGCCGGGCGCGTAGCTGGGGTCCCGGGCGTCGTGGGAGGGTCTCCGGTCCCCCCTGGCCTCCGTGTAGCCGTGGGGTTAGGGGAAGGTCTCCTCGAGGGTCACCTCGTCAGGATCGTGGGCAGACGCACACCCGACGGGACGTGCAAGCTCGCCCGCGATCGAGTGAAACTTGGAATCGTGTGAGGCAGGTGCGTTCCCGGGAACCGCCAAGGCCCAGGGCGCTTCCCGCTCCCACGCGTGGCGCGCATCGGGTAATGATGGGTCCTCGGGTGGGTAGAAGATAATTCTGTCTGTCTCCGTGTGGTCACTGCCATCTCTGCTTTAAGAGCGAGAAGACCCCAGTCTCCGAAGTTGTTTGGCAATAGTTTAAAATTGCTAGTAGTTTTTTTTTTCTTTTTCTTTTTTAGAATTAGAGATAAACCACCAATAAATTCTTAACATAATTCACAACTACGCTAGCCTCAGTTGCAGCATAAACTGAGGCTGAGCACCACTTACCTTAGTGGGTTGCTTGTGTGTGTTTTTGCTTGGCTTCGGGGTCGTTTTTTTTTATCCCGTCCGCTCCTTCCTTGCTCCCCCCCCCCTTTCTTTCGATACTGGGAATCTAACTCGAGTTCTGGAGCGCGCCAGGCTGAGCTAAATCCTCAAACATGTTTTTTTGTTTTGGTACGATAACTTGTTTGGGAAGCGGTATGCGGAATTCTGCGTTTAGTTTCTCAGTTACATTTTCTTTTGCGGGAGATAACTGGGACGAAAAATACTGGTAACTTTAGGACATTTTCTGTATGTTGGCAATAAATATTACTGTGTAAAAAAAAAAAGAAATCAGTGGCTCGGCCCGAGATTTATGTGCTTTACCACTAAGGGGTGTCGTGTTGAGTGTCCAGGGTTCGATCCCCAGCACTGCAAAAAGAAGACCCAAACGGGGAGGAGGTGCAGTTGGCCTTCAGTAATGTGTGCACATACACATTTCCTGACGCACTGGGGGCTGGGTGGGGAGGGGGGTAAAGCATGGAGCTATTGGTTAAGTCAGAAATTGATTACTTCAGTTTTCATTTCTGTGATTGTAAAGGAGACTTATTTACTAGAAACCCCGTAACTCCTGACCCCGTGTTTTCAGTTTGTTTTTAGAGACAAGTGCTAGCTTGGAATTTGCTAATTTGTACAGCCCAGGTTGGCTGGGGACCTAGAGTTCTGCTTCTGTCTTCCCAGGGCGGGGGTATTCTGTTAGTCTCTTAATTACCCTCTTTTAGGATGTGCTTCTTCAAATAGCACCGCTTTCTAATGTATCATTTTACTCTATCCCATTAGTTTTTTATTGATTGTCTAGTATGTAATACGTATCGTTGCAAGCAGTTTGATGATCCATTACAGTAAACAAGTCAGATGAGGTCCCTGCCCTTGTGGGAGAACACTGCGGGGGGTGGGGGGGGAGTGGGGGAGGCTAGCCAGTAAAAAAAAAAAAAAAAAAGTCAATTAAATATTTAATTACAGTTTCTTTCCATGTTATTTAGAAAAGCCCGTGTAGTAACAGGGCGTTCTAATCCAGCCTGAGAATCTGGGAGTGCTTTTCTGAGGAAAAAGCATTTCGGGGGTAAATGTAGCTTTAACTCTCTGACGAGGGAGAAGAATGGAAGATGAGTGGACAGATGGTCACAGAAAGATGGAAGCACTAAGGAAGAAAGTTCTGGACTTAGATACTTGAGCTGAGCAAAGCACTGGAGTGGAGACAGGCTAGGTAGGGCACTGAGAGGTTCAGAAGGAGGAGCCAGAGCTGTTGAAGATTTAAAAAGGAAACAGATTTGTGGTGGCTGATAATCCACCGATCCAGCTGCTGTAGCACTGAGAACGGGATTGAGGGCAGGTGGGATGAGGGAACAGAATATGGGGGCACTCTATTTTTATTTAATTATTTATTTTGCCTAACCCTTATTTTTTTTTTTTTAATTTAAGCCACACATATTCTAATGACCTCTGAATTAACTCTCTACAGAGAGAACTCCCCCTAAATCATCTACATTTTGCAGTTTCTATGTATACCTGTGAGGGTGTATGTGGATTATATCTCAAAGTATTATAATACGGTTTTCATTTTTTAATTAATTTGATTTTTCCCTCATAAATTTAGTCTAAGACAGGTTTGGTTTGTTTGTTTAAGACAAGGTATCACTTTGTCACTTTGGCTGGCCTGGAAGTCTACGTGGTCCAGGCTGACTTCCAGCTCATAGAGGTCCACCTGCCTCTGGCTCTCAAGTGCGGGGATCAAAGAAACCACTGTATATTATACCATTGTTTATTCCATGGCTCACTTACCTCTGCATCACCATAAATATGTGAATTTCTTATGTGTTAGGCCAAGAAAAAGTTTTGTTCCTGCAACTTAGAATTGCTCCATATAGGCTATGCAATTTAATAACTTGTCTCAATAGGATAGTGTATGAAAATGTATAAAAGCACCCTCCCTCCTCGTCCCTGCTACATGGACCTCGCCCACCCACGGCAGTCTTTTGTTTATTTTTGACGCTGATGTGTGTGTGTGAGCACGTATGTATGAGGGTGTCAGAGACAACCTGAAGGAGCTGTTCTCGCCTTCCAGCATGGAGCCTCTCAAGCACTGGAGACCGCAGGCCTGCAGGGACAGGCGTCTTTTCTGGACTTGGCTTGTGCAGAGCTAGACAGGTCAGGTGCATCCCACTCCTGACTTTTTGTTTTTACTTTTTTTTTTTTTTTTTTAAAGCTGAGGACTGAACCCAGGGCCTTGCGCTTGCTAGGCAAGCCCTCTACCGCTGAGCTAAACCCCCAACTCCTTGTTTTTACTTTTTTGTTTGTTTGTTTTCAATCGGAGACAGAGTCCATGCTGCCCAGGTTGGCCTAGAACTTGCTAAGTGGCCAGGGATGATCTTGCTTCCCCTGCCTCCACCTCCCCAGTGCTGGGGTTACAGGGTGTGCCACCATGCCTGGCTTCTCTAATTGTTTATTTAGTTCAGGTCTTCCTGGCTGCAGCTGGACTCTTGCATGCCATTTGCAGAGTTCCGTCTGTTCTTCCACCTTTCTGGGCATTCTGGGGTTCAAATTCAGATGTCAGGCTTTGCATCAAGGACCTTTACCAACTGAGCCATCTCACCAGCCGTCTTAGCTTTCTGTCTGTCTGTCTGTCTGATTTGATACATGACCTCCATATGTAGCTCAAGCTAACCTGGAATTGGCATGTATATAGACCAGGTTAGCCTAGAACTCAGAACTCTCCTGTTTTAGCCTTCTAAGTGCTAGAATTATTTAAGAGGCTTCCTAATTATTCTCATTTGGGATGTCCTTTTTCATGTCACCCACTTTCTTCTAATGGGTTGTTTATCTAGTTAATTTGTTTGCTTTTGCTTTCTGGGCATCTAATCTAGGGCCTGTGTATGGTAGGCAAGCACTCTACCACCGAGCTGTATCTCTGTAGAGATGATTTGTACTAACTGTTAAACTACATAGTGATCCTTCAAAATACCTTTTCCAGAAACTGTTTAAAAGTCCTTTACTCGGTTATTCTGTTTCCGTCTAGTACTTTCTCATTTTTTGCTTGAAACGCGTATGTTATTTAGTGCTGTGTTATGTTTCTGTGAAAATAACTTGCTGTTCTTCACAGTATTGGCTTTTATTGTTCAAATAACAGCAGTCTAACAGAAAGATGTTTTTCTCCCCCCCCCCCCAAGATGTTTTTCTTTAATTAGATAACTTACAGTAGTAGCTGTATGTCAAGATAAGGTAAAAGTTAGAAAAGTAGTTTTATAGTTTCTTAGGAAATAAATTTATAATGTGTTTTGAATTTTTTCTTATAAAAGACTTCTGTGACAAAAAAAAAAATGACGATACATAAATACCAAAAGAAAAATAAGGATTATGCTCTCAAGTCGCTTACAATAAAGAGTAAAAGAATAATTATCGAATGATAACAAAAGGCTCAGTGGAAGTGTGATTATGACGACTAACATAGCTATCAGAATGTGTTTCTGTGGGCCTGTATGATGGAGCTGGGTTAAAAGGAAGAAGTAGGGGGTCATTAAAACAGCTTTAGAAGTTTGGGGTCTATGAGGAAAGGAGACTGGGGGACACACAGCTGGTGGGTATGGGGCCTTGTAGGCTGGTCGGCTGTCCCCGATTTTAGTTCTTTCCTTGGGTTAAAATCTGAAATACACGTAAACACTGTTATAAAATGTATTTGGTAATCTTCAGTTCATGGGTATTTAAATGTTAATATAGCAGTATGATCTTAAAGTTACCCTTTTAAAAAGCAGGTCAATGGCCACCGGCTAGTTGAACTAGTCATTTAATTTAGAGGCTTTAAAAAAGTAGCTCTGCCTGGAAGTCTGTGCCTGCTCTCCCAGGCAGCGGCTTCCTCGCTGGTGAAGCTGTCTGGTGGGCTGAGAAGAACTCTCTGTTGCTTACCCTCTTTACCCTCTGCCTCTGGTGGCGCCTCTTCTGGGGAGGTTAGCTGCGGCAGCGTTCTGACAGCTGCAGCCTTTTGCTGTGGAGTCCTGTGGGTGCTGTGGCTGTTTTCCTTTTCTACATCTTTTCCCTGGAGTTAGTCCTTGTCTTTCTGTGTACGCGGTAGTGATTACTTTTCTCCGAGTCTCTTAGTTGTAAAACTAAAGACACCAGGTTTACGAAGGAACTGTATGGCCTTCGCATTGTTTGTGTTTCTGTATCTATTTTATGTTTTCAGTTATAATGTGCAATATTGTAAATAACTAGTAGCTATTTTAACTTTGTTTAACTTTAGTGTTCTTAGAACATTAATCAGTAGAATATCTGATAAAATTTGGGAGTTTAAATTTATTTGTACTCCGCTGAAATAGATAATTATTTGTGTTTTGAATGTTCACTTAAAAACCCCACTCAGTCTGCCTCCGCGGTGTCTGGCACTGTTGTGTAATGTCTGCAGGGTACGTCTACCCTAGGTACCACTTACTGATCCCAAACACTTGTTGAACGTCATGAATGACTGCTTTCTCCTGCTCGATCAGCTCCTTATAAAAGAAGACAGTAAGTCTAAAAGCTGCAGTCGTTGCTCTTCTTTTTTTAACTTTATGTTCAAATCTAGCTTTAAAAAATTATTTTGAAATGAAAATTGTATTGTATGCAACATGCTTTGAAATATGTATAAAAAGTAATGTTTCAACATTTTCAAATTAACCTCCAGAGGGCTTTACTAAATACCACCGTTAATTGTCCTCAAGTTGTCGGGAGTCTTCCTCCTGGCTGT